TTTATACAAATCTTTGTGCTTTCAGTGGTTATCTCTCATTTTTTTCTCTTGTTGCTCCCTCGCACATCTGCTTCCTCTCATTTCCCACCCTCATGAGTTTGTTAAATGGGAGATGGGCGAATGTTTTATCCTACAGACACTCACTACTTTGCAGTGGTGCTGTTCACATAACACTCTCAATTTAAATTACTGAAATATTCCTACCATTTAAACCTAGTGATGTCTGCTCTGAAGTTTTCAAACTTCTCTCCTGCTAGATTTTTTTCTTCAGAGTCCCATTTTTTTTGCATTCCTCTGACTTTTCCTTCTCTATGTCTTGTTCATTGTCTTTTCTTCTCCTCTTTTTTTGGTCATCTCCAGCTGCTGCCATTTCTTTTGCCTTTCAAGGTTTCCCTGTGTTCTTCTGAATGTGGCTTCCTAAGGGCAGGGTTAGACTTTGGTTGGATTCAGTTTCATTCAGCCACCATCAGTTCGCCAACTTCTCTTCTTGGATCTCCTGTCTTAAAACCAAGCTTCTTCTACTGGGTCTTTCAGAAGTGCCTTCCCTTCAATGATGTATGCTTTCACAGCTATAGAAGTGTATGCATGTAGGAAGCCTAAATTTTCATATGTAGCTACCTAGAAAGAAAGTGTTTATATAAGTAGCACTATTACGTCTTACTGATGACAAGGTCTTATGCCTTTTTTTTATTATTATTTTTTTTTTCTTTTTTTCTTCAGGATAGCCCACCTTATTTTTATTACTTTTTTTAGGTTTTTATTTTTTAATAGAAATTAGGAAAAATATAAGAAAAAATATATTTAGTTTATTACTCACAGGATCACAGAATGGTTGAGGTTGGAAGGGACTTCTAGAGATCATCTAGAGATCATCTAGTCCAACCCCGCTTCTCCAGCAGGGACACCTACAGCATGTGACACAGGGTGACATCCAGGCAGGTTTGGAAGATCTCCAGAGAAGGAGACTCCACAACCTCTCTATTAAGAAAAAATATATGTATGGAAAGAGCAGTGAAGTAGTGAACAGGCTGTCCAAGGAAGTGATGGAGTCACCATCCCTGGCAGTGTTCAAGGAATGTGTAGATGAGACTCCACAACCTCTCTATTAGGAAAAAATATCTATATGGAAAGAGTAGTGAAGTAGTGAACAGGCTGTCCAAGGAAGTGGTGGAGTCACCATCCCTGGCAGTGTTCAAGGAACGTGTAGATGAGGCGCTTATGGACATGTTTTAACAGGTATGGAAGAGCTTACGAAGAGCTTACGGCTGAACTTGATAATCTTGATGGTCTTTTCCAATCAGATTGTTTCTGTGATTATATGATTCTACTCAACTATATGCTGAATCTCTCTTTGGAAAAAGATGATTAAGAGGAAAGAATTCAAATCATTCTCCTTGCTGCCTACTATAGAGTGTGAATTGCTGCCAGACAGGAAAGACTGATATTCACAAAAAAAAAAAAAAAAAAAAAATGAACCTAGTTAAGTGGCAAGAAGACCATGTTTATGGAATGGCAGATGGCTATTTTATTTCCAGGTTATTCAGAGTCTAAAAGGTTTAAATTTCTGCACAGTGCATGGAAACAGAGGAAACCCAAACAAACCAATTTTTTAGCAAATTCTAGTGACTGCCAAATTCAAAGGTACTTCATACAGTGGAGCTAAACTGAGAAAAAGAAGCAGGAATGTAAATCCTAGATGCACCCTATTCTGAAAGATCTTTGTTTCTAGCTATTAGCTTCTAATTCCTCTTTCCTTGTGTTTTGCTTACATATTTTGAAGGCTTGCAAACTTCATGTTGCCAGGTTAAGTTATAAAACAGATTCCATGTTTCAGGTCACATTGGTTATACAGCACTTTTTTTTTTAAATTATTTTTCTAGAAGCTGAGCAGCAGGCTTTTTTTTTTTTTTTTTTTTTAGCAATAATTTTGAGCATGATTACAACATTTTAAATAAGCTCTACAGCAGCAGATGGGTAGTTTGTCCCAAGTACCTGAGTATAAATTGCAAATCTGAAGCACCACAGTTCATATATACAGCATTGAATTTCTTTTCATATTCTTCCTTTCCATTGTGTCATGCTATCCTGAGATCAGTAGGCAGAAAGCCCCGCATCCTGCACTGAAGCTAGCTGAGGAAGACAATATGAGATGTTAATATACTGTCTGATCTTAGAGCACGTGTTCCATTTGCTTCATTTCAGTAGAAATACTGGAGGGATCTATAATGCAATAATTCACAGTAACCTCTGTCTAACCAAATGCTTGTGCAAATATAAGTTCATAGATTTTAGGTTGTATTCATTTAAACTGCTATAAAAGAAGCAGAACAAAGCAAAGTAGATTAACTGAAGAGTAGGAAAAAAATATGTCACAAGCAACAGAGAGCAGTAACTAACGTCAGTGGAAATACAGCCAAGAGAGACAAATGAACATTCTGGGATTTTTGGTATTATTATTTGTTTGTTCATTTTTTTCCTTAATCATCTTTTACTAAGCAGTTAAATTACAGTAGCACAACACATTAAAGTTAATTTTCATTTCTTCACATTTTGCTGAACTTTAGCCTTCTTCTCTCAAAGATTGTTTTGAAAATAAATAAATAAATAAATAAATAAATAAATAAATAAATAAATAAATAAATAAAGACTCCCCCACATCAAAAAATAGCAAGCAATTTCTCTTCATTTCCTGGCAATGATTTACTATCGTACTACTCAAGTGCATTCTAAAGTTCCTTAAATCTCATTGCTTTTACAAAATATTCTGCAGAATTTACAAGTTATGAATAATACTATACATAATTAAAGCTTGACTATGTTTGACAAGTGAATGAATGGTGTGCATTTTCTGATGCATAACCCCGTCTTTGGTTGGTGGTTTTTTTCTGCTTTGTTGTGATTTCTCCCCTTTTGTTAAAACTGTTTCTCTTACTTCTTCAGCTATTCAACAATTTGGTGTATTTAGGAATTCAAAACATGTCTCCCAGGTTTCATTACAAATGAATGTGATTCTATAGCATTATGTGATTGAATACTATGCCACTTACATTCTTAGAACAAACTTCAGAAGATGGGCATGCATTCGTTTTGCTAATTTTCTAAATTTGCTAGGAGGAACACTGTGTTCTTTAAAACTGGAGTAGAAGCGATTGGACTTTTTGGCATGATGGACTGGAGTTGCAGCAGGACTTGAGCAGATAAATGGATTACCAAGCAGTTAGCCTTGTGAGAGGCAGGTTCTTAGGGAATATTTTCTGTGCCTCAGAAAACACCCTGAGATATTAAGCAGGGGAAGAGAGATATTGCACATCTCCTTGTGGAAGATTCCCAGAAGTATTGCACGGTGTCTGTGGGTTTATGTTCTATGGTTTAAAGCAATAAAAAACATTTTTCTTCCAAAATGTGCACATAGCCTAAGATTTCCAGTTTCCCAAGTGTTATGTTTTGAGATCATCACCTGAGAAAAGCCAGTATCATAGGAAAATGAATTTCATCAAAATCTGTCCCCAAGCTTGACTGCTTTTGTTGTCTCTGTATAGAACAAATGTTTACCCATATCCAAAGTCAGTTACTTTTTAGGCACTACTGCTGCTCCTAAGTTATGGACTTAAAATGGCACTTTCTTGGCTGAGCTTGGGTTTGATTTTGGTTTTATAGCCTTTGTTTTATATGAAAAGTCAATTTTATGAAGAATAGAGAGACAATGAATTCTGCTTTTGTCTGAGCTGTAGCTTGTTTCATTGTTTTTTTTTTTTTGTTGTTGTTGTTTTTTTGTTTTTTGGTATCCAATACATGGTAGAATATTTCTTGCATTGTCGCACTCAGTGGTGACAATATTCAGGAGGTCAACCAGAGGTGGCACAAGGCTTGTGCAGATGAACAAGGACAAAGCTGACAAAACTCAAGCATAAAAACGAAGCATACAAGAGAGGATACCCACGAGGAGAAAAGAGAAATTCTCCAAATGTTCAGGGATGGAGTTAGGAAAGCCGTATTCCATCAGGAACTGAATCTGGCAAGGGACATGACATGCAACTAGAAAGGTTTCTACATTCCTGAACAACCTGCCTCAACTGACCCTACTCTGAGAAGGGTGGGGTGGATTAGATCATCTTCAGAGGTCCCTGCCAATCTCATCCATTCTGATTTTGCAGTTTAAACAAAGTGCATTCTTTTTTTTATTTTTTTTTTATTTTTTATTTTTTTTAATGCTCTACTAAGGTTCTTGCCTTTCTGGTGGTGCTTACAGCATTACCTCATTGCTAGATTAATTGTTCCCATTAAAGCCAGACATGAAGTCAACATATGCTCACATTTGCTCTTGAATATAGTAGATGTTCAAAAATGAGGGAATCAGGCTCAGTGGCAATATGCTGTCTTCAACCAAGAACATTTCTGTACTGCATTTAGTTCCATTTCTTCTTTTTCATTTTATACTTGAAAAGATATAAATGAATGCATTGATCAAATAGCTGTCCTGATTGCTATAACAATATGGAGATTGGAGTTCAGAAGCTTTTTTTGTTTATTTTTATTATCAGATCTCCATCAGTGTACAAATAGCCTTTTATCAGAAGGATACTGTGCTGAAAGACCTGCTTGTTTGTTTATCCTTAAAGTAAGAATTGCACTCTGGAATGAAAGGCCTGCCTCAAAAATACCTTTTCAGAAAGAGAATGGTTTGCTGGTCTTGTTTTTATTGCTCTTTTCTATTGATCTTTTTTAGTGAGCCACACTTCTGAAAAACCACCATATAATCTAATCATTCTACTTGTTTCTTACAGAAAGCTCAAGTCAACTCTTTGACTTAGATGCAACTAACCATGACTTTGTTTAAGGGGATTTTTGATTTACTATAGGAGCATTATATTTTTTTCCTTTTATTTCTACACTGGCAATCTATTTGGGGTGGAGGGAGCACAGTTTGGATTTATCCATTTTTATCCATTTTTATCCATCTTTATCCATCAACATTAATGTTAAACCTTCTATCTTTTCAGAGTGACATGCTGGATGTGAACCAGATCATTAAAGACCTGGCCTCCATGGTGCATGAGCAAGGAGACACAATAGGTAGGTATCGCTGCTAAAGTACCTGCTTACTACTCTCCTACATGATTCCGCTTTGGTGTTTGCATGATGCCAAGTGAGTAACTCTGTTGATATTGTGTTGTATTTTTCCTACATCTTGGGCATTTTGTTGACAGCATGCTGATGGATCTGACAAACTGCTCTTTGTAATAGAGTACCCATATTTGGAATAGTTAAGTGCGATACTTAGCATAAAAGAGACTTTGTCGTAAAAATAAGCCATTCACTTTGACTGTGAAAAGGAAGCTCGACAATACTTAGCATTAACTAAAAGAGAATGAATTCTTCCTTTTTACCTGATTTCTAAAGAAAAAAAAAAGAAAAAACACAGTAATGGTTGGAATTGCCATTACAATTATCGATGGTGGTGGAGAGAATTAAACAATTTGTTTCTCCTAAATGGAATTTCCTTTCCCCATTACAGAATATTCCTGATTAAATTTACAGTAGCCTAAAATCATGATGTGCTCGCATGCGTACTTGGAAACTTCTACCCATTAGTTAATCTCCTCTTACTCTTCAGCCATCAGTGATGAGGGACATGATGGAGTAAATTTGGCAAAGGGAAGAGGGGTGGCATGATTGCTATTACCTATCAACAGCATCCCTTCTGTTGTGATAGCCACCATTTTTTTCATGAATAGAGGGATAAAATACTGTAGATTTAAAATCCCCTTAACTTTATCTTTGTTACTGCTTCCTCCTGGTGCAGATAAGAACAATCAGATAATTCTCTGTGTCTCTTGTTCTGCCAGGTGCACATGAAGATACTCTGCAGTGCTTTAGAAACAACTGGCCACTTCCAAATTTCAAATATATCAGCAATGTTGAGGGATCTAAATACCATAGAAGCAAGTTTTATAGAGCTATTGCAAACCTAAAGTGCTTATTTTGGAGATCTCACTGGAGTTAATAAGGGCTGTATGAAGGCAGGCATATGCAGATTGTAAAAGACAAAAAACTTCTCTGTTTACCATTTTATTTAAAATTGTTAAATAATTTCCCAAACCCATACCTTTGAAAATTTGCACTAGCATCAGGCACCTCCTGTCACGTTGGAATGAGCTAGCTGCATTACACTGAGAAACACTACTCAGGTTCACAGGTGCAGAACAAAATTAAAATGATATATAAAAACATATTCTTCCTTTTCTTCTTTTTTCTCTCTCTTTTGGATTCGTAGTTGTTTGACAGATCATTTTTGTACATGGCTAACTTTGAGCCTGATTCAGCTCCTGAGAACACATCAGATGTTAATGCCTTGAGGGGCATGACAACATAAATCAGATAGCTTCAAGACTCTTGTAACTGCTCTTATTAAGGCAGCATTTTTTTAAGATGTTACCCATGTTTAAAAGTGACCCCAATATTAACTGGCCTGTGAGAAAAAGTTACATTAAGTAGTCTTTATGCCAGCATAATGGTTTAGCTGCTTACACATTTGAGGTGCTCTTCCTTCTTCCTGCTTCACTTTATACATGAATGAAATGGAAATTCTATGTGTGCTCAAGTTATTGGAAAATATAGAGGAAATGAACATCAAGGGGAAGTGAAGTGCCCCAGCCAACAAAAGACATCCAGGCTTTATTGAACAAACCACCCTCTTATTCTTCTGAATTGGGAGGCATCAATGGGAAGAGCTTATATGACCTTGATATGGCAAAAGGAGACTTTTTACAGATTCTGAGAAGTGGTTTTGCCACATCTGTATAGTTTGTATAGTTTATATAGTTTCTATAGCTTTCTACTTCTATATAGTTTTGCTATATGGGCCTTTTCAAGTTCCTTAATGAACATATCCTTAGCCCTTTAAAGGGAGGAATCAGATATCTACCATGCAGGGAGCAAATGGATGAGAATGAATGGAGGAAAGTACAGTCAGAGAAGCACATCTCTGATATTTTTTAATGCCTTGAGGGGCATGACAACATAAATCAGATAGTTTAAAATATCTCTGATATTTTATGTATTCTACAAGTAAACCACCGTGCCTAGTTTCTTAGTGCTAGCATCTTTTTAATACAAATACTTAATTAAGCACATTGGTATCAGTGTGCTTGAATCCTTGGAATCAAAATAAGTCAAAGGCCTAGATTACCTTAGAATCACCAGAAAGAGTCTTTTGAATAGTCTTACAGCATCCCTTGATGAAAGCAGCCCTATGCAGCTTCAACACAAATACAGAGAGAAGGACATCTTCTCCCCTCTTTAGCCAAATTCCGTCTCACCATTTTTCTCCTTCAGTCCAACATTATGCATGTTGTTCCTTTTTGACCTTTCTTAGTCAAGTTTTTTCACCACATAACTGACCAAAATTATCTCCAATTAATTCCAGCTGAAGAAAACAAGCAATATGAAGTTTGGGCAAACTCATCCCATAAAATTGACCAATTATCTTATTAATTAGGATATAAATACCCACCTTTTGATGAAGTGGAAGTAGCACACCAAAAAAACATCTACTGCACAATTGAGTGATTCTACTAGTAAAACAAGAGAAAATATTTGAAGCTCAAGGAAACAAAATGCAGCTTTTGTGTCCTCCTTAGCACATCTCTGCGTCCAGAGCAAGATAACTGAGGCTGATATAATTCACACAGGACTGAAGTATTGGTGGAAAATATCCTCAGACTATACTAGCCTCCTTTGAAGGCTTTAACAGGAATATTTCAGAGGAAATACAAGTTGTGGAATAGGATCCTACAAGATATTATTTTCTTAGATACTATGGGAGAAACTTGGGGGTCTGAAGCACAGGCAGCAAGACCCACACTAGCGGAAAGGAAAAAGCTTGGAGACCATTAAGAAGCTCTGGGTGGAATAAGGCCATCTCCACAAGCAGAGCAGGAGGATTCTTCAACTAAAACATCCAAATCAAGGATTAAGGATCTGACACTTTGAGAAATAAATTATATTGAGGATGTTTTTTAGGGCAACACTCATTCATTTCTGTGCTCACCAATGCCCACTCAACAGAGCTACAAGTGCCTGAGCAGCTTGCAAAGTTCCCAGTATTTGCTGCTGAATTACATTGTTTTGCTTGTGTGGCCTGTTCTTCCCTTGCCCATGCTGGGATAAATAAACATAATTCCATGCAATCAATTTTAACATTGGTTTTAGAGAGAGGAAAATCAAGCCTTTAAATCTCCAGTTCTTCGAAAGGATACATCAGCAACAGAATTATCAGGATTTGTTTTACTACCTGATTGTTTGATGCATGTTTTTCCACCTCTGGATATTTGTTTGTGTTGTACCTATGTGATACAATCATTGCATTCTCTTCACCCATGGCAAAAAGATTTTTTTTTTTTCCCATTTGAAAGAGCTCTTTTTTGGAGAGCTATTTTTCATTCCTACCTGTGTCTATAATCTTATTAGCTATGCCAAAATAATATGGAAGATCTAGAGCCCTTATTTAAGCTGCACAAATTCCTTTTTCTCAAGTTACATCATTGCTTGCAGCTTCATCACATTTCTTAAACCCATAAAGAAATACCTATATTTTTCTGAAAGCACTTTACACATTAAAGAAGCCACATTTCTTCCTCTGTTGGGCAGTTTTGGAACCAGCCTCCTGCCAGAACATCTGTAACCTCCCCACCTCTGTAAAGCAGCAAGACATGCCAATATCATATACTTGCCACCTATTTTGGAATTACAGCACTGCAGATACAGGAACTAATTTACCATTGCTATGCCCTTTACCTCTAGAGAAATGCAGAACAAAGTTGTACAAATCTGTGTTTGCACAGCAGGGCTGACAGGAAGAAGACTGTATTCCATTGCAAAAAAGATTTTCTTTTTCATCCATTGCTTAGCCCAAATTAGATCTTGGTGCTATTAACATTTCACTTTACTCTTAAAGCCTGGACATTGTAAATTTGGAAATAACTGGGTGTAGGGTAAAGAAACTTCATAAATTTCATAACCAAAATTGTACGCTGCTCTGATTTACAGACTTCAACATCTGTTGTGCATCACGCTATAGTACACAGACCTGTCCTGAGCTAAAGATACAGCTGGTTCTTTCCTTCAGTCTGTGGGGAATTTCTTAATAGGGTCAATATATTCAGTTGTCAAGCAATACTGGTGTTCACATTGTTATTTATTTCATAACAGTAATAATCGGTCTCCTCCAAAGGAAAATATATTTCCGTTAATGTAAATATACTCCTTATTTTGGTAACTTTGGGATGTTTTCTTCTTTTCAATGAAATCAGATCTGCTTTGCTACTTTTGTTCACTGATTTATCATTGCTATCTTTCTGATAACTGAGCATGTAAACTGTCTCAAGAGCCAAGACAGCGTCATCGTCTCCCTTCCATGTATCCTCCCACAGTGTGACTGACAATGCTGAGTCTATTTTTCGAATGTCCTGCACAGTACAAATGTACAAATATGAGCTGGGAAATCATTCAGCTGGAGCCTTAGCTGAACCCTCTTGAGTTACGCTCATCAGCTGGGATATCTGCAGAAAATGAACACATCTTGAGAACAGTCTCTGAATACCCAAATGCAACTGCTCTGATATCCACATACAATTGAATGTGGTCTGCAGACTCCTTAATTGGGTAAAGTTTCCTAAATTACCTCAGAGGAGACTATTATGGGTACATTTAAGTTGTTACTAGTTCCTGATGAAACGGGAAATCTTCTGTTGGCTTTCTTCATTTCAGCCACTTGTTGAGATACGGAGTTACACATCAGTGGAAAGCACGACCCATGCAAAGAGTGTTCACTGAATTATTCCTGAGTCAATATTCATGTATTTTCACGTGCATTTGAAACCTCCAGTTTCCTCCCACATCCGAGTCACATGTCCTGTCATTGATTTATTTTTTTCTGTTATCAAAGTCTAGCAAAGCTTTATTTTAAACCATCCCAGCTCCTTCACATTTCTTTAGCTTCAGACATCACTTTGATGATCTCTGTTTCATTTAGTCAGCAGTTGGTAGCCATTGCTACAATTTCATCTTTGGGT